AGCAGGAATAAAGGAGATCTTGAAGATAAATGAGAAAAATTGTCTGAAGTTAAAACACTGTGGGCAATTTCAGTAGAGATGTCACTTAAGAAAGCTGAATAAAAACAGGAAAATTTAGGTATTTCGATATAACAACTAAACCGTTACGTGTGGTATGACAGAATATTCGTTTCTAGTGGGCAGAGATGCTTATTTTTGCCGTTTGCAAATGACTTCCTTAAACTCTGTAGACAGAGGAGTCTGCTCGTCTGCCCCTCAGGCCAGTGGCGTGTTTGGAGGTCTAGACTTCGAGCTGGCGCTGACCTTGGGCGCGCCTTTCTTTAAGCCCCGCCGCCCCTGCCCCTGCCCCTGCCCCTGCCGAGCAGGCTGCAGCCTTCACCTGGAGGCTGGGTGCTCTTGTGAGGCCGGCCCAGGATGCCGAGGGGCAGGCACTTCTTAAAGTAAAACGAATCCTCTAACACTGACGAGTTTTGATCCTGTATTTTTCAGTTTAGAAAATAAAATATTTGCCAGTTTTGACAGAATTTTTATTTTAAAGTTAATTGTATTTTAAGATATTGGCTGGCAGTATTTTATGTTATATTCAGCAAAGTTTATCTCATTTTGTCCTCCAAAGAAATCCGGTGATCTCTCAGGCTAACCTCTAGAATGTAACTATTCGCCCCTGTGGCGGAGCCCCTGTGACCGGACGTGAAGGCGCGTCTGCGGCCCCCCCAGCTGCTCCTCCAGTTTCTCGGCCTCGGCTCTGTCCAGGGGCAGCTGATGCTCCTCCGTGGTGGTGGGCCCGGGCGGCGGGCCTGTCACCAGTGTCCCGTTGTGGCCTCGGGGAGCCCTGCCGGGCGGAGCGGAGACCCCTCCGCCGCGCTCCCTGACGTGCGCGCTCCCGCCCCCTCTGATGCGCGCCCCGCCCCCTGGCGTGCGCGCGCATCGCCCTGACGTGCGCGCCCCCTGCAGTCTGCCGGAGCTGCCTGGTGAAGTACCTGGAGGAGAACAACACGTGCCCCACGTGCAGGATCGTCATCCACCAGAGCCACCCGCTGCAGTACATCGGGTAAGCGGCCCGGCCTCGCGCGAGCCTCGCGCCGCCCCGCCGGCCGGCCGCCCAGTCGGTGCCGAGGCGCGGGCGGATGGGGGCCCTGCCAGGAGGGGCGGGGCTGGAGGAGGGAGCCGGCTGCACTTTGACCCCCGAGTTGAGGTGTGTCGTGGGAGGGAGAGACCGCTCCCAGGTCAAGACCTAGGAACCAGCCGGCCCGACGCCAAGCCGTGTGGCGGCGGTCCTGCCCCGCGCCCTGCTCTTGTGGGTCGGACGAGCTTTCTGAGAAGCTGGTGGCTTTAGTAGGAAATTCGGAGGGTGTCGTGTCTGCTGGAGGCCAGCTGTATTTTATGCTGCTGTGTGTGCGCACGCGTCACGCGTTCACGTACACTGGAGTGTGAAAGGTATTTCTTGGCGCGGACCCTGGTCAGGAAAGTGTGAGAGACTCCCTTTGGTCTGGCACAGCCCAGGCTGCCTGATACCTGTTAGGACTTGAGAAGCCCAGCGGGCAGAGGGAGCTGGTCACCGAAGGATCTTGCCTGTGTCCTCCTCTTTATTTGAAATGTTCACAAGCATATAGAGCAACGGCTTCCTTCCGGCCATGTGTCCCTTTTGCTATAGCACAGACTTGTTCTGAAGTGCAAACCAGAAGCAAAATTCCACCAAAGCTCCAAATTTGTGATTGTGGAGTTTATTACTGTGAAATGGAGAACATTCGAGAATTAGAGCATTGATGCTTCTGGCTAACCCACCTGTTCTGTTCTTTTTGCCAGTCATGACAGAACCATGCAAGATATTGTTTACAAATTGGTCCCAGGCCTCCAAGAAGGTAAGTGTCAGAGCATCCACCTGGACTTCTGCGTCCGCAGCACGGCCTTTGAGGGGCTTTTCTCTCCGGGGTGCTGGCTTTGGGCGTCTCGCTCAGCCGGCCGGCCAGTCGGTGCAGTTTCCGCCGAGCCGCTGGCCTGGGGCCCGGGGCAGATGGGGGCCATGTGCTGGCTGGTTTCATCCATCGTCACTCACACCTCCCGCTTCGCTCAGGAGGCGCAGGGTGGCCTCTCACTTGTGCCGCCTGGAGGTGAGGCCAGGAACCCTGTGTCAGTAAAGCTTAACTGTAGTTAAAGTCAAATCTATGAGAGTTGAGAAGAAATACTCTGTGGTACAAATATCCTGAAAGTGGGAATGGCTGTTCTTTTTAAAACTTTTCTGCAATTCTGAACACTGAGACTGTCCTGCCCTTGTTGAGGGGCAGTGATTGGGGGGTGGGGGCGGGGACACAGGCCTCAGAAATCTGTTCAGTGTGGGCAGTGGCTGCTGAAGCGGTGCCAGCTGATAAAAGCTGTAGGCACAACTTTCTTTCAGAGATAAGATACGTTAGCAATTCATTTGGGCAGTGTTTTCTCACTGCTGCGTTTCAGAAGAGGGTTATAATTTCAAGTACAGGCTTATTCAGTTAGGTCAGTGGATGTCACATCTGATCTTTAAGACACAACCTAGGGAGTGATATCGTTAAAGTCTTCTTTCATTGTTCGTAGAATTCATTCATAAAAGAAGAGTTTAAATTTCTTGAGTAAATGTAGATAAAAACAATCATATTTGGGTATTTGAAGGGTTTTCTAGTGCTGGAGAAAGGCAAAGAATGCAGGAAAATAAAGTACTGACACTGTTAAAAATCATTATAGGATATTTTCAGCGTGCAAAAGGCAAGGTCTCGTAAAGAACTCAATGTATTTATGATCCAGAGTCAGGAGTTGTCAGCTTGTGGTGAAACCTGTTCACCTCTTTCCCCCACCCTTCCTGTTGTTTCATCTGGAAACGTTGCCATTCGTTCCCCAAAGAGAAGGATTTTTCTTAAAACTCGGAGCCACAGCACCTTTGTAAACCGAGATTATACTACTGATGCCTTATTGCATCAGGTCCTAGTGGGTGAGGCGTTCCCGTCTCTCGGGGTTTAGGTGGTCTCAGTCAAGGTCCACGCGGGTTTCCCCCCTTGGCCCCTCCTGTCTCCACGTTCCTGTGTGTGGGTGGGATCAAGAGGCCCCGTCGGACTCTGGCGCCTTCCAGTGTCACTCCGCCCAGACGGGGCCCTCGCAGATGTGGTCCTGGCAGCCAGGCTCCGCAGAGCCCGTGAGGCCTGGAGGCAGCCAGACTGCGCCCCCTGTTCCGTCACCCGCCTCCACTGATGGCGGGGAGGCCTCCATCAAGAGACGCGCTCGCTGGCTTGGTTTCCCGAGATCCACTCTGTACAGAACAGCAGAACAAATGTGTGAAGTTTTCCTTTATTTGTTTATAGAAAATGAGCTGGTTTCCCAGCCGCTCCAGCCACGATCAGATGGCTTTGAGCATTTACTGTTCTCAGGTTATTGCAGTTACTGTCCTTTTTGAAGTTCAAAGCCTCCCCGATCTGTGGCTGGCGGGCACTGCCCCCTTGGCTCCCTGGAGCCGGTCTGCAGGGTCTGGGCTCACCCCTGCGGGCGGTGGTGTCTCAGGCCAGCAGTCGGCGCGTGGGGAGCGCAGTGACGCGTTCTCAGTGGAGCTTTGGCTTGTGAGGGAAGAGGGCGGGTGTGAGACTGCTGACTTCTGCCGAGCCTGTCCTGTGCGTGCGTACCCTTGTCCTCTCCACAGGCAGCGTGTAGCCGTGATCGCCACCCTGAAGTGGAAGAACTGGAGGGATTCCAGAATTCCCCAAGTTCACCCTAATGCCCAAGGCAGCCTGAGCTCTGCCCTCAGTCCAGGGTGTTTTCTGGGTAGGCAAATAATCCATTCCTCTGTTTTCTCAAACTTTCAGTCTTTTGTTGCACTTTAAAAGATCGCTGTAGTGTTCAAGTCTGTAGCAGCAGGCTGTTTTCTGAATGTGGGCTGTCTGCAGTTTCTCTGGTTTTGTGCCAGCTTGTAAAGCTGGTTTCTCAGATGGGCCCTCTTCCGGGTCCTCCAGAGAATCCAGAGCACATTTCACCTGAGACAGAGCAGTGACCCTGGGGGCCCGGGGGTGTCTGGAGGATGCCCTCCTGCTCTGCGCTCTGCAGCCCCTTCGAGGTGCCCACCCCGTGGCAGGGGGCTTCACATCTGGCATGCGTCCTCTCAGGAATTTTGGGAAATAAAAAGTGGCTTGGCTTTCTGGATCCAGCCTGTGGCCGGTAGACTGTGTTTTTCTGTTCCCTTGTAGATGAAGCCTTTTAGGTGGAAAATGAGTTTTTTAGTTGTTTCTTGTTTCTTTTTGTTTTTATAACTTAAAAAAGCCCGTTTTCCCTGAGGCAGCATCGTTACCTGTAAACTTTATCCGTGACCTATTTTGTGTGTCACACGCCCTTGCGCAGCTGCAGCTGCTCCTCTCCGGGGTCTCAGTGGTGGCTGCTGGGGCTCCTCCCGTTCATCCAGGGTCCTCTCCTGACTGACACTTCATGTATGTCTCATCTTTTGCTTTAACCTGGGGGAGGGGTGCAGTGAATGTTCTGTTACAAACTTTGTGGACGTGGGTGAGTGCGTCTGTGGGCTTTATTCTGGAGCAGGGCTGCTCCGCCAAGCAGCTGCAACTGCATTTCTTTCTCTTGCCTCTTCGCGCTGGCTGAAGCAGGAGCCGGCAAACCCCTCGCCGACCAGACCTGGCCCTGCCTGTCGCGTGCAGCTCCTGAGCCAAGAGTGTTTTTCACTTTTTTCTTTTTTTTTTTTTCACTGCGCTGGGTCCTCGCTGTGTTTTGCCGTGCACGGGCTCTTTGTTACGGAGAGCAGGCTTAGTTTCCCTGCGGCACGTGGGATCTTAGTTCCCGGATCAGGGATCGAACCCGTGTCCCCTGCATTGGAAGGTGGATTCTTAACTACCGGACCACCAGGGAAGTCCCCACGTTTTTAAATAGTTGGAAAAAATCAAAAGAAAAAGAATATTTTGTGACGTGAAAGTTTTGCGTTGAGATGTCTCCGTCCACGGATAGTTTGCTGGAACACAGCCCCGCTCATTCAGGGACGCACGTTTGTCTCACACTCGACGGCGGCTGGAGCATCTGCAGCAGGTGGACCAGCCCCGTCGGCACAAACGTTGTGGAGGCTGTATTACCAGCACCCACCGCGTCAAGACAAGGGGAGAAGCGTCCAGCTTTTCAGCCATGGTGACGGGTGGGTGGTTTTGTCCTTGGATTGTCATTGTCAGCCGGGGAAGCATCCTGTTTATCTTGCGGTGACACTACATCTGTGTTAAAATAGAAAGTTATAATACGTGTTGGCATCAGACTAAACACTCAGAGGAAAGCAACTTTTAGAAAGAATTGAAAATTTACATTGGAATGTCTCATCACAGCAGGATTTCTTCACAAAAATAAGAATAACCTATTAAGGCTGCAATCAGAGTAGGTTTCTGATTGGCTCATTTGTTGGTCACGCAAGGAAAATCACTTACTAGAGATAAGTTGGTTAAATGTTGTTTGATTGCAGCGGCTGAGGAAGTCTGTCCAGAGAAAGTGAGCCTGTTTGAGAACAGGAGCCGTGGCGGGAACCGTCGCTCAGGGAGCTGACAGTTAGGGGCAACGCCAGCCCTCGGAAGTGAGGCGGGCAGTTTCAGTGGTTGTCCTCGGCTCCGGAGTCTCCGATCTGCGCAGTGTTTATTGGGTGCGTTTGACGTGACAGGCGAATGAGCCTCTGTGCAGAGTCTGCGGGGCACAACTGCAGGAGAGAGGGTTTTCCAGGAAGTTGAGAAGATGCTAACTCACTACAACCTGACGTGGGCCGTTGAGATGTGTCACAGCCGTGTCGGTGAACGTGTGTGGGGGTCAGGGAAGTACCTGGTTGGACAGAGTAACTAAACTGTGAAAACGTTAGGTTTTAAATGAAAGCTCATCACGATACTCATCAACCAGTAGGTACTTTGCAGAAAATACTTGGATCTTTCGTATGTTCTGAACCAGTGGTGTCCACGGTGGAATCCATTCGCGCTTTTGGATGTAATCATTTGTGTGAATTTTTGTCAGAGTTAAAAGCTGAATATCCCGACTTCCCTTATCACAGCCACACAATATTTTGATGCCTTGGCGGTGGTAGTTTTTTGTTATGTGTGTTTTTTTTTTGTTTTTTGAGGCTTTTTTGAGCTAAGGGCAGATTGAAATTTTTCTGAATGAAAAGAAACACCTTTAACGACGTCACACCGAATGGCTTTGGAAATTTGCTTTTGTTAAAGACCTGATAACGTTTCTTGATGAATCCAGCCTAACGTCATAAGGAAGAGCAATACTGAAATGCAAAACCTACGGTGTGGGAAGTTTTCAACAACTAACATCTCTTGAATCGCAAGCCCCATCCAGCTGCCTTGCAGACGCCCCGGGCCGTCGGCAGCTCGAGGGGAAAGGAGACCACCCCCTAGACTCACAGCAGACCTGTTTGCTGAGCCCCAGCAAACAGCCCTGGTGGAGTCTGGGGCCTGGTGCAGGTGGAGCAGCTTCCGTGTTTCAGAATCCATATAGCCGTGCAGTCGAGGGGCATCCGCTGGACCTCCATGGGGAAGTGGTCAGTCTGTGGAGCAAAGGCAAATCCCAAGAGAAGAATCTAATAGAATTCCCTCAGCACCTTCTGAGTGATGACTGCTCTGGACTGAGTCAGTATTTCTGTGTGCAAAGACATTTTCAAGGTGAGGTCTGTAAGATCTCCTTACAGATGAACGTGAGCAGTCAGTTTTGGCGCTAAGCAGCACGCACTTTTTACCCCACTAAACAAGCGTCATCCGCCGCCCGACAGGCGTCCATTCTTCTCGTTAGTGGCCTGCACTGCAAAGTTCATGCTCGGGTATCACTACTGTGTTTTTAACTTCGTGAGTTCAGGTTTCTGGTGCCTCACCGAAGGAGCTTAGAAGTCTCCACGCGTCCCAACGACAAGTAAAAGGCAGAACGCACTGAACAGTCAGCAGTTCGTAGATTGTAAGAGAGGAGGGTGCAGGGCCAGCCACTGCCCCCGAGATGGGGGACTGACCACAGACGCGGGGGCACCCGGCTGCCTGCCGCAGACTCAGGACTGGAAACGCCCAGGAACCAGAGCCTGGGCAGGAGAGACTGGCCTGTGACTGAGGGGTTGCTGAGGCTCCTGGTGGACGAGTCCAAGAGTTGAGACCTCCCCGGGGGCTGTCACAGCGGGCCTCGTGATGCTGTGAGGTTCGTCTCCAGGGACTCGACCAGGCTCCCCCAGCAGGGGAGGGGAGAGAAGTGCCCCAAGCCCCGGGTCAGTCTGAAGAAAACCTGACCTCCGGGGACCCAGTTAACCACAACCTTGCCTGCTGGGCTATGATCAGAGCAAAACTGGCCTGGGGGCGGGGGAGACCCAACTTCAGCCGCCTTGTCCTGCCCGAGGGGGGAGGAAAACCTGAGAAGCACAAGCGAGGTTCACAGTCCAGAGGCTCAGGCTCACCAAGGACAGCTGTGGTCAAGGCTGTAGGATGTCCCCTCCCCAGCACCTCAACCACCACAGCACTGAGGCCTATTTACAGCAGTACCTTTTACCCAGTATCATGTCCAGCTAAGAAGAAAAAAACTACGAGTCATACTAAAAGGCAAAAAACAGAATCTGAAGAGACGGAACACGCATCAGAACCAGACATGGCAGGGATGTTGGAATTATCAGACCGGGACTTAAGACAACTGTGGTCAACATGCTGAGGGCTCTAACGGATAAAGTAGAGAGCATGCAGGACACAAGGGGAATGTGAGCAGAGAGGTGGAAATCCTAAGGAAGAACCAAAAAGAAACGCCAGAGATCAGAGCCCTGCAGCAGAAATGAAGGTTGCCTTTGATGGGCTGATTAGACTGGACACGGCTGAGGAAGGAACCTCTGAGTGAAAGGACATCTCGGCAGAGTCCCTGAAAACCCAAAAGCAAAGAGAAAAGGCTGAAAGAACAGAACAGAACATCTAAGGCCTGTGGGGCGAAGGTGTGACATAATGGGGAATCCAGAAGGAAAAGACAGAGAAGAACAGAAGAAATACTGAAACATTTTAACTGAGAATTTCCCCAAATCAATGTCAGACACCAGACCACAGATCCAGGAAGCCCAGAGAACACCCAGCAGGACAAATGCCAGAGTAATTACACCTGGGCCTGTCGGTTTCAACGTACAGAAAGTCAAAGATAAAGAAAAAAGTCCCGAAAGAAGCTGGAGGGGAGGGGTACACTTTACCTATAGGGGAACTGAGATGAGAATTACATCTGACCTCTCCTTAGAAACCATGCAAGCAAAGAGTGAAGTGAGATATTTACAGCATTGAGAGAAAAACCAGCAGCCCGGGATTCTGTACGCTGAGAAATTATCCTCGAGAAGTGAGGAGAAATAAAGACTTTCTCAGACAAAGAGAAATTGGGGGAATTTGTTGCCAGTAAACCTGCCTTCTAGAGATGTTGTTAAAAGAAAGAAAGAAGGAAAATGATAAAGGTCGGAAACTCAGATCTACTAAGGAAGGGAAGAGCATCAAAAAAGAAATAAGTGAAGGTAAAATAAAGACGCTTAATTTTCTTATTCTTCATTTATCTAATAGGTAACAGTTTGTTCAAAATAATAATGGCAGCAATGCACCCGATACGTATGCCTGTGTACATATTGTATCGAATATATATCTACTTCAGTTTCCTTAATAAAAATTCTGTTCTCTCTCCTGTTAACGTAAGTACTGATGAAATGTCTCAGTTTTGATGTTTAGCTTACAGAGCCCCAGATATTCACTGTCTGTGCTTCACAGCAGCGTCTGCCAGCCTGGGACTAGAACTCTGTGATGTGGGGCCCGTCCTGTTCCTGACCCCGGGGAGGCGCTCAGTCTCTGACCCGCAAGCCTGACGTCGGCTGCAGGCTCCCGCGTGCCCTTCATCAGGCGCGGCTGCTGCTTGTCAGGGGTGGATGTTGGATTCCATCAGATGCTTCTGCGTCTGCTGTGATGATCCCGAGGTTTGTGGTGCAGTGAAGCACACGCGCCCAGGGCAGTGCTGCTTTTCATAAGCCTTTCCTCCCTCCGCTGAACTCACAGCATCCTAGTCTTACCACTCTCATAACTTTCACCCAAAAATGAGGTCATATTCTGTCTATAATGTTCTCATAACAGTTCGTTGTAGAGCTGCCCTGCATCCGTAAATGGGATCTGTGTCATCTTTTCTGTTGGCTGCAAAGTATCCACTGAATAAATGGCCCACTCTCTTAACCCCAGCGTAGCAGATAAGTTAGATTTATCTTGCGTGTCAGCGGTCAGTAGTGGATGATAGTGGTATCTCCAGTGTGGTGTTAAGAAGGGTTCTGAGGCTCTGTGGCCCTGTCTGGAAGTGTCTTCTGGGACAGAATGAGTCTGGCGGGGAGTCAACTCTTCTTTTCCTTTAATAAATTTCATTTTATTTATTTAATTTTTGGCTGCATTGGGTCTTCGCTGCTGCGTGCGGGCTTTCTCTAGTTGTGGCGAGCGGGGGCTACTCTTCGTTGCAGTGCGCGGGCTTCTCATTGCAGTGGCTTCTCTTGTTGTGGAACACGGGCTCTAGGCGTGCGGGCTTCAGTAGTTGTGGCACTTGGGCTCCGTAGTTGTGGCTTGCGAGCTCTAGAGTGCAGGCTCAGTAGTTGTGGCGCACGGGCTTAGTTGCTCCGCGGCATGTGGGATCCTCCCGGACCAGGGCTTGAACCCACGTCCCCTGCATTAGCAGGCGGATTCTTAACCACTGCCCACCAGCGAAGCCCCGGGAGCCAGCTCTTCTGGTTGGCCCGGCCCACGTTGTCAGACACTTAGCATTTAGGTTGTTCCTGCTGCTTCACTGTTGCAAATGAGGTTTTCTCTTCTTATGGCCTTACCTGGTTATTTCCTTGGGATACATCACTAGCAGTAGGGACTCTTGGGTCAGCAGTTAACTTTTAAAATATTTTATATATATATGCTAAGGTACTTTCCTGAAAAGTTATCCCAATTGACATTTCTACACCTGTGTATATCTGACATTGAGTATTGTTATTTTTCAATCCTTTTTCATTCTTATAGGTGAAAACTAAAGAAATGGAAATTAAAACCAGGTACAGGCAGACCTCGGAAATACCACAGGTTCGGTTTCAGACCGTCGCAGTAAAGCGAATGTCACAGTAAAGTGAATCACACAAATCATATAAGAGTGCATATAAAAAAGTTATGTTTACACTATACTGTGGTCTGTTAAATGTGCAATAGCATTATGCCTAAAAAGCAGTATACATCTTTTAATTAAAAATACAAAACAAAAAACTAGTAGCATCAAACATCACTGATCACAGAGGCCGTAACAGATAAAACAATAATGGAAATGCTTGAAGTGCTTCGAGAATTACCAAAACGGGGCCCAAAGTGAGCAGATGCTGTTGGAAAAAGGCGCCGACAGACTCGCTTGACGCGGGGCGGCCACAGACCCTCACTGCGCTCCAAGTGCAGAGTCTGCCCGTGTGTGCAGCGGCGTCCTTTCCACCTGTCAGGTGAGGAGTCCCTCTTTGCGTTGATCGGGGGGGCTGTTACCTGCAGACCCCGCCCTCCCTGAAGGACAGATAGGAACGGGCTCCCACCACCAGCAGCGCGTTTCAGGCCTTCATTCCTCTGCCGGCATTTATGTGACTGTTTAAGGGAAATGTTTCCTTTCAAGCTGATCCCAGACTTTCCAGACTCGTGGTTTCGCCGTCTTTGGTTCCAACGCCCCCCGGCTCTGGGCTGGCCTGCGCTCATCAGTTCAGTTCTGAGAGGCCTCCCTCTTTCCGTCTGAGTCCGCTGCCTCACACTTGTATTTCTTCCTGCACAATCAGATATTTTGGAGTGTCTGTATCGGTCCAGGAAGCGACCAAGGCATGTTCCTGGCCCTTGCGGAGTTCGTGGTGTTTAGGCGAGACAAACGTGCAGGCGAAAAGTGCCACCGAGCTTTCCTTGGTCACCTGCACATAAATATTTTTCACAGCATGACTTATACGTTATTGATTTGAGCAGCTTGGGTTTAAATTTCCTTTGCTACCTTCCGTGTGGCCCTGGGCAGTGACCGTTGCTTCGTTACGTGCATGTGAGCCGTACATCAGTAGCCACCTTGTGTCACGGAGTCGGCCCTTCCCAGGAACGTGCGAGGGTCCAGCCTGGACCAGCTGTCCTCTCGCCGCCCAGCCCAGTCCCCACTCAGTGGTTGGAGGCCGACGGCCAGGGCAGGAGGCCACGTGGTGCCCGTCGCCCCCGTTCAGTAGGGACCCTTCCCCTGTGGTGGGCGGCTCCGTGCCTCCAGGACTCAGCGAGCTGTGACCGCCAGCCACAGACGCCAGGGAGTACTTGTTCCCCACCGTCGGGCACGCCTAGGGGCGGCCACAGCAGCGGTGGGGACGGCAGCCCTGCCTGGGAGGGGCCCGCGGGGCTGTGAACGCGCATCCAGAGAACCGGCAGCACCCCCACTTGGGGGGCTCAGGCCCCGACCCTGGACGCACCCCACGGCCCACAGCTGCTCCAGAATTTGAGGGGGCGCACAGTCCAAAGTTGTTATTTTCTCACGAGTAGAAGCCTTCAGACTGTTAATCCAAATCTTCAGTTTCCTTCATGTGATAATTTGTGAGCAGAATTTTAATATGATCCATTGCCTACTTAAGATTAAGGATTATATATTAATTTTTAATAGCGGAAATGAGAAAACAGAGGGAATTCTACCACAAATTAGGCCTGGAAGTGCCTGGAGACATCAAGGGGGAGACCTGTTCTGCAAAACAGCACCTAGATTCCCATCGAAACGGTGAGTGAGCTGGGTTTTATTTACTAGACCTTTTGCTAAGAGCCCCTTGTGTCCCTCCCACTCCCCACACAGGTCCTTGACAGAGGTGTGGGCAGGTGTCAGTGTCACTTGGTGCTGACGGTAGCAGGTGGTGCTGAGAAATGGGGTCTCCGACCGAGGGGTTACGTGGTGGGCCAGTGAGGGGAAGCCTGAGGGGGTACCCGAAGGTGCCTGTAGGTGGGGTCACGGGCATGCGGACGGCGGGCCTCCCAGGGCTCGTCTCCTGGCTTTGTCTGTTTTCTCACAGAATGGCCAAACTCCACTTTGGCTATGACGTAAAATTAATAGTGCTTTAGAATCTGTACACATCATAACAACTTATTTGAATCTTTGACGCCGTGGACCACACAGATTCCAAAATCCCTTTAGTCCGCCGTGTGCTTTTCTAACAGTGTGAGCAGCAGGGAGAGGCTTGGCTGTCGGGCTGGGGAAGCGGGGCCTGCAGACTGTGTGAGCTCGGGGCCCCCAGGGAGGCGAGGCTAAGAGGCGCTAGGGAGCCAGGAATCCCGCCTTTCCCTAGGTGGGGTCTTAACATTTAAAGCCGTGCTGGAACAGTGAGAGCTCGGGGATGGCTCGCAGCCTGGCGTAGATGAGGCACGAGGCGTCGGTGGTGCTGGGCTGGTGGGGCGCCTCTGCCCGGACACGCGCCACTGGCCCCGAGGGCGCAACGCGTAAAGCACTGTGGAGAGCAGCGCTCCCGCAGCTCTCACGTGTGCACACTCCTAATACAGTGGGTTTTTATAGCGTTCAAGTGTACGGTTGAGTTAAAAAACAACAGTTTAACGCTTTGGATTCATGGCCCGGTATTTTCTGTTTTTGCTAAAAGGAGAAACCAAAGCGGATGACAGTTCGAACAAAGAAGCAGCAGAAGAGAAGCAGGAGGAGGACGGCGACTACCACAGGAGCGACGAGCAGGTGGGCGCTGCCTCGGCCCCCGCCTTCCCAGGGGCGCTCCTCGTTTGACAAAGGAGGAGGCCGAGAGCGACAGACAGTACAGACGTTAAAACGTCAGCAACTTTCTTAGTTTTTCCTTCCAGTTCCTTCCTTTACTTACCTTTCTTTCCTTTTTTTTGGCCGTGCTGCGTGGCTTGCGGGATCTTAGTTCCCCGACCAGGCCAGGGATCGAACCCGGGCCTTCGGCAGGGAGAGCACCAAATCCTAACCACTGGACTACCAGGGAATTCCCATTCCCTTCTTTTTTTAATTGCCAAAGTAATGCATACTCACTGTGGAACATTTTAGGTATAAAAAGTTTAAAGTTCAGCCTCCACCCCCCGTGGGTATCTTCAGCTCCCCCCGACCCCAACCCCGGGTTGTCCTGTGGAGAATGTGGGGCAGGCATCTTCCATGCAAAATAAGGTGAGAATGTAACCTTGAGGGCGCTATTCATATGTCACTTAACTACGTTATCAGATTAAAAAAGGAAAACTAAATCATCACAGTGATGCTATAAAAGAGTTTGATAAAATCCCGTATCCATGTCTATGGATCTTTTTATTAGGGTACCTTGACTCGACAGCTATGGCAGTCATCACACTTCATGATGGAACAGAGTTGTCTCATGAGTGTCAGAACAAGAAAATTGTCCCTTCTCAGCTGTCACTCAGCATGAGTTGGGGGATCCAGCCTGAATAGTTAGGAGACGGGAGAACGTGAGCCGGGCGCGCCGTGGCTCTCAGATTACACGTCTTGTGACGTGGCACCTCGGACAGTGCAGGGAAACTGCTCGTTCGGGTGATGGGACCAGTGTGTCATAGTCAGACGCTGTGGGCGGCCTTGTTCACATAACTAATAAAAACGCTGAGGCCGCCTAACGAGAAACGTGTGAGGCTGAAACAAAGACGCGCTCTTCTTACGGGAGAACGTAAGAGAAAACCGAATAGTTGGATGTTTTTGGATGGAAGGTTGGTGTTGAGATGTGAGTTCTCCCCAAATTAATCTCCGTGGTTGTGACTTTAACCGTTTATTATAAATAGGAATTTAACCAGTGGCTTCTGAGCCTCATCTGGGAAAGGAAAAGCTTGGGAATAGCCACGAAAACTTAGGGGCGTCGGCTGTATCAGGGTATATATGTAGCGTAGCTACCCACACACATATTTACACAGACGGACACCTCGGGAGGCCCTGCGGTTCGGTGCCAGACCACTATGATAAAACAAGTTGTGAATTTTGGGGGTTTCCCAGTGCATATAAAAGTTATGTTTCCACTGTGCAGTAGTACGTTTAGTGTGCAGTTTCGTCATGTCTAAAAAACAACGTACGTTGCTTAATTAAAAGATATTTTATTGCTAAAAATTGGTCATCATCTGGCAACGCAGGGCTGCCACAAATCTTCAGTTCATAAAAAACACAGTATCTGCGAAGCACAATAAAGCGAGGTCTGCTTATATCCACCTTTCTATATATATATATATATATATATATATATACTAATCAGTACATATATATTTAATAAGTAAAACGTGAGTATGTGTACACATATTTATTAAAGGTATAATTAAATAGTGTGGTTTAGGTATAAGAATGGAATAACGGAACCTTAATTTTCCAGTTGATATGCTTCTGTGTTGCTGAAACATTTGCACAAGCATCACAGGACTAGAAGCACGTCTGTGTGGAATGCTGGGTGTGCTCAGATGCGTTTCACGTGAATGGAGAGAAGAATAAACATTGGGGTGAAGGGCGCCCCTCTGGGGCCCGCGTGTCCCCTCTCCTGGGCTCTGATGAGTTACCTCTTGTTGGACTTGGAGGCCCCGCCGGGATCTGGGGTCGGAGCTGCCGGCCCGGCCCCTCCAGGCACAGGGTGGGCCTTCTCGCTTAACCCCTGCTCCGTCAGCGTTCAATCTCCAGTGTTTGTGTTTATCGTTACTAATATTTCCCTTTTCTTTTTTACCCCAAACGTGCCGAAGATTTGTCTGTTTGATCGGTTGCTTTCAAGAGCCAGCAGCCTGCCCGGGGGGTGGGCCCTGCTGCATCCCTGTGGGGCGAGAGTCAGTGCCAGGCTGAGCGCCGCGCACCTGCTCTGAGCCGCGTGCTCTCGCCAGATGGCTCCCAGTAACCGGGACATTCGTTTCCTCAGACGTTCCCCTTCCTCAGGAGCGCACCGTTTCCCCTGTTCGGAACTTGGCAGGATCCCTGTCCCTGGGAGGTCAGGGTTTGGGGAGCCCGTGTCTGCTACCGTCCTGCGTCTGGTGTCCCCCCGTCTCCTCCCACTCGGGGACCCTGCTCTCCGCGCTGCCTCCTGGGACCCTGAGCCCCCGGGCTTCAGCTTCAGCCTCCTTCACAGCTGTTCCTCCCTTTTTCAAATAAGTTGTTCTGTTGTTGCTTTAGTTCCAGGCCGCTCCTCCCAAGAGCCTGCCCCCTCCATCCTCCAGGGCAGCGGCAGGCCCGCCAGGCAGGGCCAGCTCCTTCCTCCTCAGCCTGTGCCGGGGGTGGGCTGCTGTTGATTACACAGGCGGTTTCAAGCGTGGGGTTGGCCCCCCCACCTGCTGCCATCCCCCCGCCTCCTCTCCAGCATCGGGACCCTGGAGGCCTATCTGCTCCAGGCTGTCCCGGGCCTGTTCTTTGCAGGACACTCTGTCCTTCCGGTGGCTTCGTCCACGGCGGGGCTCAAAGGGTCCGTGCTTGGGAGTCTGTTCAGCCGCCTGTTCGGCAGTGTCCCTGCCGCCCACACCTTGGCTCCCTTGGGAATCAGGTGTCCTGCCGCCAGGAGGGGGGCGCCCGGTCGGTCGGCACCTGGCCTGCCCTTCCCCAGGACGTGCCACGCGCTGCCCGCGAGGACCCCCGCCCTGTGGGGCTGAGGCGCCCTGGGGTCGGGGCGCTCGGAGCCACGGGGCGGGGACGCGCCAGGGGCTCCAGGCGTGGGGCGCAGGAGGAGGGGAGAGGGTGGGCCGGGCCCGGAGCAGGGCCTGCCAGGCGGGGAAGGGCCCGGAGCGTGGGCAGCGCGTGGCACAGGGCGTCAAGCGCTCAGCCCGGGAAGGGTTAGAAAGCAGCCGCGGGATTTGCTGGGCTCTCCAGAGACTGTTTACCGAGCCGGTATCCCAGCCGGATGGTATGATGTAGCCACAAACCACAGAGCCCAGAGAACAGGTGTCTTTGTGCAGCTCCCTTTTCTCAGGTAAAATTATACTTTTGAGTTTTTTGGAGGTGCGTCATGTAGCCGCTTCCTGTAGGTGCCATGTGACACGGAACAGCTGTAGGACCTGCAGTGTGTCCCGTGTCGCGTGCATAGCACACGCCGCAGGATGAGGATTTCACTGTTTCCTGTCTGATGTTCTGATTATTCCAACCCTCACGGACTACTGGGTGCTGGCCCCAGTCTCCCCGGGCACGTCCTCCACGCGCTGCCTATCCCAGACTCCCTGGGTTCCGCGGGTCTGTTTCCTTTCCGTCTCCAGCTCCCGGGGAGGGGAGTGTGGCTCTCTCGGTTCCTTTACATGCAGATCGCTTTCTGTGTTCGTGGACCTGTGTGTTGGGTCTTTTGACATTTTCTCAGTCATTTTGCAGGATTGGCCTACACCTTTTTCATAGGCATTTGTATAGTTTTGGTGTCAAGGTAGTAAGTCTCAGAGCTGGGGATAGGCTCTCTCTTCCCATTTTTATTCTCTAGGAGAGCTTGTATGAGGTTAAGAGCATCAGTTTTGTTGACTGTTTTGGTTAAACTTCCTGTATAAAGCCATCAGATCTTGGTTAATTCTTTTGGAGAGGGGTAGGAAGATTTTTAACTATCAATACAAATTAAATTTCCTTAATGATTTCAATCCTACTCAAATCTTCTGTTTCTTTTTTAGTTCATTTGATCAGTTATATTTTTTCTAGGAAACTTTCTGTTTGGACTTAGGTTTCCAACGCTTGGGGCATGAAACGGCTCCTAGAATTCTTTGCTCGTCTTCGGGCCTTTTGCCACCTGTGCACCTGTTTCTCCGTCTCTCTTCCTGGCATCACAGCATGCCTCCCGCTTTCTTGGTTGTTGCTGCCAGAGGCTGAACCACTTTCTTTTCTGCCAGCCGCTCCTTCCTTCTGCTCTTTCTACATTCCCTCTTGTACTTTCTCTTAATTTCTTGAGTTGAATTTTCATATAGTTTCCATTATACTGTTTGGTTCTAAATATTTTGAAATGTTCACTGTGATTTCTTTTTGACCCACTGCTTATTTTTTAAAGTGTGCATTGAAAATTTTGAACATCAAATCTTACTAAAAAGCTACAGTAATCAAGACGTTTGTTTTAGGTGTTAAAGTCGACTTTTAAGTCAATGGAACCAATTCTGGAGTCTAGAAATAAGCCCTTAGATTTAGGGTCATTTGGTTTTGAGCACAGGTGCCACGGCCCTTCACTGGGGAAAGGACAGTGTCTTCTTTGAGTGGTGCTGGGACAGTTGGACGGATATATCCACGTGCAGAAAGGTTCGTTTTTGCCTTGCCTCACACCACATACGAAAGTTAACTCAAAATATAAGAGCTAGGGCTTCCCTGGTGGCACGGTGGTTAGGAATCTGCCTGCCAATGCAGGACACACGGGTTCAAGCCCTAGTCCGGGAGAATCCCAGATGCCACAGAGAAGCTGGGCCCGTGCGCCACGACTACTGAGCCTGCGCTCTAGAGCCTGCGAGCCACAGCTGCTGAAGCCCGCACGCCTGGAGCCCATGCTCTGCAACAGGGGAAGCCGCCGCAATGAGAAGCCCGCGCACTGCAGCGAGGACCCAATGCAGCCAAAGATGAAATAAATAAAATAAATAAATTGACTAAAAAATATATTTAAGGGCTAAAAGTTGAAAACCTTTATAGGAAAACATGAGAGAAACTGTTCAGGGCCTTGGGTTAGGCCTGTAGTTCTCAGATCCAAAACCAAGAACACAACTCAGGAAATAAAATGGATAAACTGACTTCATGAAATTAAGAACTGCTGCTCGTGGGACTTGCCTGGCAGTCCAGTGGTTAGGACTCCACACTTCCACTGCAGGGGGTGTGGGTTTGATCCCTGATTGGGGAGCTAACATCCTGCGTGCCGCATGGTGGGGCCAGAAAATAAGACAAATAAAACATAAAGCAAGCAGCACCTTGAGAAAAGAAATAAAAGAACTGCTGCTCTTTGGGACCTCCCTGCTGGTCCGATGGATCGGACTCTGCTCTCTCACTGCCGAGGGCCCATGTTCAGTCCCTGGTCAGGGGCCTAATGACAGTGCAGCCAAAAAAAAAAAAAAATTGCTGCTCTTCAAAGGACTCTATTAAGAAAATTTTAAAAGGTCACAGACTGGGAGAAAATACTGGCAAATCACATTTCTGAAAAGGACTCGTATCTATAGTATATAACTCTCAAACCCAATAAGAAGATAAACAATCCAATTAAGAAATTGGCAAAAGATTTCAGTAGACGTTTCACCAAAGAAGAATTACAAATGGTTAATAGTCACGTGAAATGATGTTCAACAACTTTAGTCATTAGGGAAATGCCGATTAAAACCATAATGACGTCGCACTTTACACTCACCAGGATGGCTACAATCAAAAAGACAGCCACTGGCAGGCGTTGACGGGGATGTTGACAAATGGGAACTGGTCAGCGGTGCAAGGTGCTGCCGTGCGCCTGAGTCTCACACCGCTTTACAGTGCGAGAGAAGTCCGACGGGAAGACTGCGTCTTGTACGATCCCATCTGTAGCCCGTCCAGGAGAGGCTGGTCCACAGGCACAGGCCGAGGGGTGGCCGCCTGGGGTGGGGCGGGGTTGACCACCAGGGCTCCGAGAGTCTTTATGAGCTCATGGGACCGCCCTCAGACTGGATGGTGGTGATGGCTGCCCACCTCTCTAAATTTACTAAAAAGTCCTGAATGGTATATACTTAAAACACATACATGTACATTACACTGCAATGTAGCGGTTAAAAAGTTACAAACGTGCTTTATCTTGGTGCGTTTAAATAGGTAATACATTCATACAGTCCAGAGGTTAACATTGTGTGAAAGGTTTAAACGTGTTACCGTCCTGAGTTCCCCCACGTAGGTCACACTCCGTGGTCACCCCTGCATTCACACAAAACTGAGCCTCCTCATCGGGTGACATGCCCGTAGTTGGGGAGCCTGTGCCCTCTCTACCTGGTCAGCACCTCTGACGGGCACGAGGCCTCTCCGGCTGGGGTACAGGAGTGCAGCCGGCGGCCCTGCCCGTGCCCACGCAGCTACCAGTGCTGGGTTGAGGATTCCGTGTGCGGCTGGTTCCTGCCGGGGTCTTGGGCCTGTTGCTTTGGCCCTGGACACAGACGCCCATCTGGTCCGTGTGCCTGAGGCCGGCAGAATTCAGCATCCCTGACAGAGACTCTGAAACCCCCACTGCGTTGGGGACTTCTGCTTCTCATCATTCTGTCAACTTAAGTTTGCTACTAGGTGCATTCAGCTTTAGAAATGCTTCCCATCCTTAGGGAGTTTTTTCTTGTTAAGAAATCTGTTTTATGTAATAACACAGCTCTGTCTGTTTTATTTTTGCCTGATATTTGCCAGTTTTTTTTAACATCTTTCTTAAATGTGACACTTTCTACAGCAGAGAGCTGGGCTTTTTTAAAAAATCAAATCAAAATTTATTTAACTGTCAAGTTATTTTACATTTACCACGATTGCTAGTAAAGTTGGGTTTATTTCTGCTTTAGCTTGTGCTTTCCATTTATGTTTTTTATGCCCCCTCCCTTGAGTCCCTTCTGTAGAATTAATCAATTTTATTTAATCTCTTTTTTGCCTCTGATTAGCAGGTTATATGTCCCATTTTTATTATTTTAGTGCTAATGAAATTCTAAAATGAATGCATTTTTTTAAAGTCCAGAATTAATATGAGTCTCTTTGTGTCCCTCCTAAACAACACCAGAGCTTGCCTGCTGCCTGGGCGCCTCCTAAACCCCAGCCAGTCCATCCACTTTAGGCTTTTTCTTCCTGAGCTACGTCTTCTCCTACTTACGTTCTGTTTTCATTTGCAGAGGACTTTATTCATTTCCTCTGAATGATAATTACGCTCTT